GCTGCTCCGCTGATTGCAGCTGCCCCTCGGCCAGGTTCCTGCTCGGGTCGTGAGGACCCTGCGGCGCCTCAGCCTGCGGGGCGGGCGGCCCTCCCGCTCGGGGAGGGACTCGGGTCCTCCACTGCCCACGCCAGCCTCTGGGAACCTGCCAACGTGTGGGGACAGGAAGGTTCAGCGACAGAGGGCCTGCCGACAAGTTGCCCCAAAAGGCAGCCCCTGGGGACCCAGCCCTGAGCGTGTGTCTCTTCATTTGGTTGTAGGATGAGGGCGCCAGCCGCCCTGGGCGTCACGCTGGCCGTGGCCTGCAGCCTCCTGTTCTTCCCCGTCCTGAGGGGCCAGGCCCTCTGGGGTAAGTGACAGGTGGGTGGGGTCTGAGGACCTGGCAAAGACCCCGCCCTCGATTCCAGAGCAGAGGGCGCTGGGGCGCAGAGGCAGGTGGGAGGCCCGCGGGTTCTCTCCCTTCCCAGAAAAAGAAGAGCCATTCATGAGTTTAACAGAATTAAAACAGCTCCTTCTGGAAAAGAACCGATTTTCCCAGGAGTGCTCAACAGACGTCCATTTACCTGCTCAGGTACTTGGAGCAGGAGAGTGTTTGGGAGCAGCTGCTGGCTCCTTTGCCGTAAGTCCCTTCCGTTAAGTACCTGATGTGGTACCCTCAGGGAATCAGGGTGTTACATCACCAGACCTGGTGACTAAAGCAGAAAGTCCTGCCCATGAAAGAAAGTAAGATGCAGATGATGGACAGCAGGAAGCAGAGGCGTGGCCAGCAGGGAGAGGCGTGGCCTGCAGAGGAGAGGCGTGGCCAGCAGAGGAGAGGCGTGGCCAGCAGAGGAGAGGCGTGGCCAGCAGACGGGAGAAGCAGGGAGCAAGCAGCCTTTGTTTAAAAAGGAAAAAGTTGACAAATTCATTCCAGTTCCTTAGACTTCGTATCCTTTACTTGGAACCAGGCATTTTAACCTGGAAATGGATTTGCAACATTGTGGACCGTGTGCACCGGACTCCCAACCAGCAGATGCTCAATTCTCGCAGCTCTGGAGCCTGAAGTCCAGTCCAGGCGCCGTGGACCTGGGGTCACAGGGGAGGCCCGGGGTCTCTGCTGTCAGGGCCTGGGCCCTGTTCGTGAGGCCCCACCTCCTGCCGCCCTCAAAGGGGCCACGGAAGGTCAGCCGTGAATTTGAACGACAAACAGACCATGGCTCTTCCTGGCCATCCCAAGGACTAAAAGATAAAACAAAGTGGGCGTCTTTTCACTGGAAGCTGCGGGCACATTGGAGTGGTTTATCTTTCGTTAAAAGCACAGGCTAAGCCCCAGCCGGTTTGGCTCAGTGGATAGAGCGTCGGCCTGTGGACCGAGAGGTCCCGGGTTCGATTCTGGTCAAGGGCACAGGCCCTGATTGCAGACTCCTCCCGGCCAGGGCCCTGGTGGGAGCTCGTGCAGGAGGCCCCAATCGATGTGTTTCTCTCACATTCATATTTCTTTCCCTCTCTCCTCCACTCTCTCTAAAAATCAATTGAAAAATATCCTCTGGTGAGGATTTAAAAAAAGAAGCACGAGTTAAAAGAGGCAAATATTACCATGAGTTTTCTGTATTGCTGGTTCAGGCAACAACAATATTCAGAAAAGGCTGTAGAGAATCGTGCGGCCGGGGCCAGTGAGAAAAAGGCACGGCCGCCGCACCCACCTGAGGCCTAGCAGTGGGTCCGTCCTGGTGCCCGGGCACCGGCGCTCTGCCCGCAACGAGCTGCCACAGGTTAAGGTGGGAGGACGGGCAGGGGCCCAGCTGCACCACGGAGAGGCCGACAGGACGCGGTGCTGGCCGTTCGTGCTGCGCTGAGGGTGGCACTGGTTCCACAGGGAAGTCCGAGGACTCGCACGCGCTCAGCGTTCTGGAAGAGAGCCGGCGCCTGGAGGACGCGGCCACCCACAGCACGAGGGAGAGGTACGTCGGCGCCCACAAAGGGGACCGGCCATGCCCGGCCCGGTGCCTGGTCCTGTGACACCTTCTTCGCCTGTTTCCTGAGTTTCATCTCACAGCCACCTCCAAACTGGCCCAGAGTCTCCGTTTTGCAAATTCAGAACCGGAGCTCACGTGGACTAATGCACTTACCACCGTCTGTGGAGGCAACGGAGGAAGCACTATTCAGTCTCCCAGTCTTTCTCTGGCAAAACAGAGCCAAGCACAGCCATCGCCCGGCCAATGACCGATCCCGGCCTGGGGGCGGGGGAGGGGTGGTGGAAGTCCTGACGGGTGGGCGGCTCCTCTCCCAAGAATTAGGCACTTGCTGCGGAGACAGGGCCACGGCTGCTGGGATAGAGCCCGTGTTCACCAGGGCTGTGGGACTAAATCTGCCCACGTTCTCTCTTTTATAAAAATTTGTTCAGAGAGGAAGGGTGAGGGAGAGAGCGATAGAAACATCAATGATGAGAGAGAATCATGGATTGGCTGCCTCTACACTGGGATCGAGCCACAACGTGGGCATGTGCCCCAACCAGGAATGGAACCGTGACCTACTGCTTCATAGGTCGATGCTCCTGGGAACACCAGCTGGGCAAGAAGCAGTAGATTTTATATCTCCCCTTTGTGCCGTAGAAACCTCAAGAAAAGAGACATCATTTCTCCATCTCGGCTTCTGTCTTCTCCCAAACTCCCTGAACCAACAAGCCGAGCTATTTCCCGAGCAGCGGAGCTCGTGGAGACGTCCGTGTGGGCGATGAACAGAAGGGTTTACCTGAGGCCGTCACAGCCTCCAACAGGTGAGCGAGCGCTCGGAGGGGTCCCGGTCCCCCCGGAGTGCCCGCCAGGAGTACCCCTTCAGGGGCCGGGCGGGGCCCCAGGAAGGCATGACTGCTACTCACACGCAGGACTGACCCAGCAGTTGGTAAAACACAATCTTCTGTTTTTGTTCGTCTGAGGATAAACTGTTTCTCTCCTATTCAAATTGGGTTTGGAGAACCAGCTCGAAATTAATTTGTGAACAAACAGCAATAGACTTGGCAAAAGAAAAACCCACAAAAACGAAAGAGCCTGTTTTCTGGGGTCCTGACCTGGAACATTCACCAGCATCTCCTGCTATTTCCTTCATCTTTACAGAAATTTCAAGCCCACTCTCCATTTGGTCACCATCTCGTCAGAGGGCTTGGTCCGGCAGGGTTTAGGCGGGGAGGGTAGATACCAGGTGGTCGCCGTCCACTGAAGCATCGCGTGGCTGGACACAGGCCTCAGCTGTGCCGTGTGCCACCGAAGACGTGCCCAGCGAGGTCATGGTCACCCCGAGAACTGGCCTTCCCCGGGCTCAGAGCTCTTGAGACCCGCTTTTCCAAAAGATCAGAAAAAATAAAATTTAAAAGCCCGTCTCCTGAGCAGTGGGGATGCTCTTGGGGGTTGAGCAGGAGGATTATTATGTGGGACCCAGACCCGGAGCCCACGGCAGGTGCTGGGCCAGGGGGCGTGGCCTCACAGAGGGTTTACGCCGATGTGTTCCCCAGATGCTCTGTCGGAGGAGCTGCTGAGCACCATCGCCAACGTGTCAGGGTGCCTGCCCCACATGCTGCCCCCACAGTGTCCGGACACCTGCCTGGCCGACAAGTACCGGCTCATCACGGGAGCCTGCAACAACAGGTAGCTCATCACCCCTGACCTGCAGGTGGGATTGGAACCGGACTCCCTCCCGACCTCTGTCCTGGCCCTCACCCATCTCTACACGTCGTCTGAATGCCCGTCTGGCCGTTGCTGCCTTCCACATGGTCCTGTGTCCAAATGGCAGGGCCTCTGGGACCCCACACCCTAGGGTGGAGGTGGGGAAAGGGTCACACAGGGTGACCAGGAACGCGGAGGAACAAGCAGGGTGCGTGATAGGCGGGTTTCGGGCCTCAGCCTCGTGCTGTGGGCAGGCCCCACTCGCCGATCGGGGCTGAGACGGGACCAGCAGGGGGACGCGCGGTTCCTCCCTGCGACAGGCACACAGACAGGCCTGCCTAGGAGAGGCCGGGACTCAAATGTAGACAAAGACCACCCTGGGTGCTGAGAGGCAGAGAGCAAAGGTCCCGACCGCCACCTCGCTTCTGAGCTGAGGAAAAAAAAACAGCAGGTCCGACCTGCTTCTCGCAGCCTCTTCGCACACAAAATGCACGTGTGAGGCGGGAGCAGGCGCAGCGCCCGGGCGGGGTGGGCGCCTGAGGGACGAGACACCAGCAACTTTCCAAACTGCATCTTTGTGGGAGCCCCCAAGTCTCTGTCCTGCAGGGATCCCCCCCCGCCCGTGCGGCCCCCGTGTGAGGGGCACCTGAGCCAGAAGGGCTGTTGAAAGGTGGGAAGGTGTGTCCTGGGCTGAGGGAAGGGCACACCTGGAACCTGGAACGTGAGAGGATCCAGGTCCATGCGCCCCCAGGAGCCCATTCACTCGGTGGCCCCCCTGGTGTGAGTCTGGCTGGAGGCGGCATTGAGCCAGGGCCCGGGGGAGCCTGCCCGGGGGCTTCCCTTGAGGATGGTTTCTTGTAGGTGGACCTGCTGCCTCCCCCCTCCTCCTCCCGCCCCTCCCCACTCACCTGGGCACCGTTGTCTCCACAGAGACCATCCCCGGTGGGGCGCCTCCAACACGGCCCTGGCCCGGTGGCTGCCGCCCGCCTACGAAGACAGCATCAGTGAGCCCCGAGGCTGGAACCCCCACTTCTTATACAACGGGGTTCCCCTGCCCCCGGTCAGTGCCCGACACTGTGTGACCTGCATTAGGGTTAGGCTCCATGACCTGTCCCTGAGCCCGGGGGGAGGTAGCGGGCTGTGTGCGGTGTCTGTGGGGTCCCCTCCCCCTCCCCCTCTCCCCTGCGGGTAGGGCCCCTTGTGGCAGAGGAACTCACGTCATCCGGTAGCGAGGGGAGCGCAGGTTAAA